TTATCCGTTCACCAGTGACAAGTCAGATGCAGTAGTAGCAGTCACCCAGAGGATTCTGAGACGAAGCAGTAGGCAAGCTAGCACTCATCTTAGAAAGATCAAAGCAAGATGATCGACCGGGGCTAGTTTTAGAGCATTCAGAGGCAGCTTGAGAGGATGTCTTCCCAGCGCCAAGTCGGATTAGTTGCGCCCCAGCTTACTACAGCCCAGCACCTTTTCTCCCATTCTTCTGTTGTGTGCCTCACTTAGCACATATTCTTCTTCTTTTATATATGTACTAGAAAAATATATATGAGAAATAACAAAGCTTGTTGTTAAACTTATTAGGGGAAGACAGTGCCTCCTTCCAGCACTTACATTGGAAGGACTTCATTCTCCTTTCATTGCTCCATGATAAAATAATAGAAAGAAGGTGATTCTTAGCTACTTTGTTTCCTACTTTTCTGTACTACTATCTCTAGCACTTGCTTTTTCATATTTAACATATTGCTATGCAAATAAATGATCCTGTATGTTAAAATGAGTCTCTAGTATGAAGAATAAACAACGTCTTTACCATCCAGGAGGTGGGTTCTTATATTGGATTCAAAAGATAAATCCGAGAACCCACTCCAACGCACTCTCTTTAGAAGCCACGTTAAAATCACATTCATCCAGAGCCCAAGTGAAATCTCCTGTTGAGGTGACTCCGGAATACATGAAGCTTCCACTTGCATTAGAGAAGTCTTTCACTCCTCGCTTCATGGAGATACCATACATACATCTGATGAGATAGTGGTAAGTACTATTTCCGGCGCATGCATGCATTTTGACCGAGAGCAGCCATGTATTACCTTTCAGATCGACGACCTCTTTAAGGACCTTTTGAGTAACAACCATCCTTATACCTGTCACATACTGCACAGTCAACAGGTTATAGCAATTTGAACAGGTATCCTCATCGACTAAGGCGACTTCTAATAAATATCATTACCTATGCAACACTGTTGAATGACTCTCCCCTACGGTCATTTAAAGCTCAGACCTTCGATAAGATCATTTGAAAGGCATTTAATGCAGCGAAGCGGCCAGCGCACTCGGTACAAATATATATACCCTGCCTCTGAAAGTTTAGAAGTTTCATAACTTAGTGAAGCTTTCAGTCATTGATTCAAGCTGAGTATTCATACGCCATGGCTCTCTCTAGGCAACCGCCTTAGCTCCGACACGAGATATGGAAATGATGCCCTCTACCTTGCACTAATGATGAAGTAATATGAGAAATCTATGTCAACATATTACCCATTTCTAGAGATAACCTAGCCCTATTATCTCATGCCCAAAGGGGTCTATGTTTATCGAATTGATGCTCGAGTATTATGTACCTCTAGAAGACTCGTAGACCTCCCCCATGCCCAATCACTAGTCCAGTGATACATAACGTTACCATTAATATGGGTCGACGCCATCACCTACTATAGATCCTATACAATTATTAGTATTAGGGCCTATACAGGTTAAGTATTAGGCAGATGTTTCCTACTATATATCAGCGATGCATATCCTTTCAGTTTATAAGTTGAAGCATGATGTTCCCCCAGTAAAGATGTAGAGGCAGAGAACGAGGTAGATGGTAGGGGTAAGAAGGTTCGAACCTACGGACTGCCAAACTATGATACTTATATTCCTCCATCCACTCACACCTTGTACACTTCTTTGAACTGTACTGAGATCCAGACTCTTTAGATTTGAGCATGAATCGAATGTCCTTCATCATTCAGTCTCTTTCCAATCACCTACTGGGTTTCGCTGTTTTGACCCGATTTTTCTTCATTTTCCCCCTTTCACCCCCTTGTTTGGTTTTTAGGTACTTAATACCATCGAGGCGTGATTAGATTGTTGATAGTAGCTCTGAATTGAGAGAAGGAGTCTTCATGATGCTCAGAATATTACTTAGCTAACAATATTCCCCATCAGATGTGCAGACATAGGGTCTCTGAGTATTCCCATCAAAGACCTTCTGAGCACTACCTTTCACTAGCTGCTGGTATCGCTACAGAACTCGAGCGAATACCCTAGGCCTACCACTCTACAAGACATACTTGGGAGCACATAAGTCTAAGGAGTGTGCCCTCTCCTAGATATTTAGGTGCCCCCGCCTGGGTCCTAGAGTTAGGGTCCAGAGGAGGCCGCTATGGAATATAAAGGTTACAAAGTGCTCCTCATTCTTTTCCACGATTCTAATAGAGGGTTATATAGAAGCGGCAGGTGCATTCCCGTCCTTGGTCCGTATCTAGCACTCTGAACGAGATCCTCCTAATAGTAAGCTCACGGTTTGGCGAATTGATCTACCATCGAAACCCTAGAGGTTGTGGCGTCATATGGGCAAAAGTCCAGGTACTAATAGTGCCAAGTGTTCGTGTTGTATTCTCAATTCTATATGGTTATTTTCTTATCGATGAAGAGCAAAATGAGATATGGGCATTGATGATGATATGTTTAGGATCCTTGATGCTCCACAGGGAGTTCTAAGATGCACTACTTGTCATCAGGGATTAACTATTATGAGGTAAACTTAGAACCTAATCCAGATCCTAAGTCCTATTTTCTAATAGTGCTATTATCTGACTCAGAAGCTTCAAGATTACATAAAATCATTCTCTGTGGAAGTCAAGATTATTTTGCTGGAATACACCAAAATACCCTGTTTTTAAATCTAGAGTAGCAAGTCCATAAGTTGGCCATTAAACCTAATGTCAGAGACATATAACAGCCAGTCACCATCGTCGGATGAGATTAAAGATGGATTCAACAGGTGATCGCATAAAACTAAGAAGTACATAGAAAGCCATCTTCATTTGCCGAGAAAAGCTATCCCACTATGGTCTTTGGAAATTGTGGACCTCTTTACGAAAACAGAAACACGCTCGGGCTACAGAGTGTAGAGGGAAAACCCCAAGACAAAAGAAGAATGAAGAGAGAAGACAGCATAATCCGACCACGGTAGAAGAAAAGAGAGAACAGGGATCCCCATAACTAGGGGAAACCCGTAGCTAAGAAGGGAATCAGATAGAAAGGATCCATAAACTAAGAGTACGATGGACCTAATCTAATGTGTAATCAACCTGGAGTACAACACAAGCAAAGGCAATAATAATGATACAAAGATGGAGTAGAAGAAATGCAGTCCCACCGTGGTCGCAAAAAACATTGTGGACCTCCAAAAAGGACACCGCTCACGGCCTTGTAGAGTGCAGAGGGCATAATGACGCACCAACCCGAGGATATAGGTAATCATTGCTCTGCTCTTCACTAACGGCCAATGGCGAGAGCATATTAGATCCTGGCATCACGGATCAACCTTAAGGACAGCGGCTTCGCCAGCTTACCACGATTGGATGATATATGCACGACCTGTCAGATGTCACGGGGTTTCCCCCACCCTATACATCAACTGAGTGGGGTTATTTATTATGGAATTCATTATCCATGGGCATAAGCCCCCATGGGATTAACTTAACATATTACGCTGTAGCACGAGCATACTCTCAATTAAGTATCAATATATATTCTTCCCAAAGCGGTATTGGCATAAAAGGAAGTCAAATACACTCTTGTGCATTCAATCTTTATCTTGAAAATAGAAATCAACATATCTTCCTCCAGCTCATTGATTTTTTTTTAGTCCCCAAATTATATTGAAAAGTTTAATAACGTAAGAACATTCATTCTCGTCACGTAAACATTTCCACATCTTATTGGATTTCACTCAATTCCAAAGCTGATTCTTTCATACTATTGATTATCTTTAGCCTCTCTAAATTTTCAATTTTATTAATGCCGAAGATAAAAAATAAAAATATCTATTTTCAGTATTAGAAGCTGCTAAGTCACTAAAGTCCATTGTAATTCTCATAATCCTTTTAGAAGCTTATCGAAATACCTTATTCCCTTTTATGAATATCCTCTTTATAATAAAAGTTACTTTTTGATCTTCTCCATAATGCACTTTAGAAACTATTTTTAAAAATCAATTTGGATTCAGTCGGATTACCGATTATAGAAAGCTATATATTATATGAGAAGTTTGATGATAAGTATAGAGAGTTAAGGAGGTCTACATATGATATTTATTTATTTAGAGAAAGCCCGATTTATAATAAAAATTCAAGAGAAGTGGTGATTTGAAGTCTAGAAAAGAAAGGGGTTAATATCTGCCGCGTATATATATATATATATATATATATATATGATGAGGACATCGAAGATCAACGGCTACGATCGTGTCTATTTATCTTGATGTATTTGATTTGTTATTTGTACTTTTCCCTTTCTACCCTCACTTGAGGGCTTTGCCTTATGTTTGCCCTAGGGGCAATAGTGTCTTTTATTTTCCTTCATGTATTTGGCTATTTAAGCCTTCCCCTTCCTCTTGGAAAGGGGGATGATTATTGTTAATGAAAATTTTGGTTTTGGATCTCTTTGTGAGTTCTAGAGTTCTCTTTGTGAGTTCTCGCATGAGGAAAGCCTAGGAGAGAGGCTCAAAGCAATACCCAACAGCCCCTTGGTGGAGCTCTTGGTTTTCTACCCCATATCTCTTCTTCTACTCTACTGTTTTCCCCACCCACCCGCTGGCACACTTGGCCCCAAAGCCACCGGCCACCTCCACTCACCGCCGGCCTCCAGCGGCCAGCGCCCAGCTGTCAGCCTCCAGCCGCCGGCGACCAAGCAGCCATCACCCGCCTGCCCTCCACCCGCCCCTCTTGGTGTCGTTTCCCCCCCTCTAGCTGCTGGCCTCCCTCCATGGGGTTTGAAATTTGAAATTTGAAATCTCACATGAGACATAATTGACTTTCCTTAATTAGATCCTTGATTTTGGCAATTTTCTTAATTGTGTTTCAAGCCAGATTTGAAATTCAAATCAATTCTCTTGATTGCCATGCATTAAGAAACTTCCCTAAATTGAAAAAACCCCAATTAATGCCACTTTACCTAAATTGAAACCTAAAATTTCCGTTCAGATTTTTGATTAAAATCTGTCATTAATTGAGGGCCCCATTTCATTCATTACCAAGCCCCTCTCTCTCTTCTTATGGCCGGCCACCTCACCCCCATTGCTTCTCTCTCTAATTGCCGCCTCACCACCTCTTAATTACCTTCCAAATACCTCCCCTCTCAAACATAATTTCAGCTTTTATTCCAGATTTCAAAATCTGAGATTGGAAATCAAGATTATTCCCTCTCAGATTTCCTCTCCTCCTCTACTTCACGTGGCTTGTTTTCCATAAGTCTTGCTGCTAAGTTTTTCCTCCCTAAAATGAGAGTTGGAATTCCTCTCAGATTTTTGAGGGAAGAAAATCTGAAACATTTCAGATTCCTCCAAAGAATTACTTCAGCTTTGTAGAAGAATTTGGAAAAACGGGAAGTCTTCTCAGATTTTGGTTCCAAAAATCTGAAATTCCTTTTTCTGGATTTTGGTGAGCCTGAAATCTTCCTACCGGGATTGCGGTCCAGAAGTTCAGAGAATTGACATCTTCCTTATTGCTGCTTCACCTGCAACCCGTGATTTAGAAGATCCGGAACGTGTACTTGCCCCTCTTCCCGGGTGTTCCTTAGTGCAAGGAGGTTCGTGGTTGCTGTCCACTTCATTCCCAACTTTCAAACAACCTTGCCGGAGTGCGTATCCCTTTTGTCTTTGGGTAACTTCGACGCCCGACTCTCTATCTTCATAGTTACATCCTTGAATGTGAATTTATTATCTTCATGAAGATCATATTAATGTTTCTCCGCTAAAGCCTAGTAATTAGAAGAGTTGTGTGAGGGATCTTTCATAGACTAATCTTATTGTTAGTATTGGAATCAATTGTTGGAACGATTCATGTATGCAATGTTGGATTAAGCTGGCTATCTTTTGAACTTAACTTCTATGCATGTGAGATAACCTAAGCTAGGTACCACTTTAATATTTAACTTATCGTTCAATTCCGCATAAGATCTTGCTTATTATTGCCTCTAAATCTAAACTTGCAAACTTCTTTAAGCAAATCACTTTCACATGGATTGTTTCACATCAGAGATATTAATATTATTCTTCAAAAATTAATTTGAATGAATTCTATCTTTGATATTAGGTTTACCTTTTTTTTCTTTCTAATCAGTTGACTCTAATTTTATCTATCTAGCTAATGAGTGTAATTTTCTTCCTTTCATGCACATATCAAATTCTTCAAAGTCTATTTTTTAATTATCTTATCTTCATTATACGTTATTCCAATCGTTGATTAATATAATCTTTTATTAATCTATCCTTCATAATTTTACTACATTTTCATTTTAATATTCTCATTTGCTTCACACTAGTTTTAGATATTAATAATTTTTTAGTACCCAACACTTGGATCCATTTAATATTGATGGCTTAGTTGTAATTTTATTAAGTTTATGTCCAAGTCTTCATTATATTATCTTATTCCATAATACTCCTAAGACGCTTCTCTATTTTAGTCATCTAATTTTAACTATCAAAGTTATCATATCTTCATCTCTATCTCTATTCTTTTATATAATAGATCAAAGATGACTAACCTATTGCACATAGTTATCACATTATGTTCTAATGAAATTGAATAATAATTGTTCAACTTCATACTCACTAAAATTATATATCATCTACTTAGTCTTTGTTCTACGAATTCAAAGTATTTTTTTAAATATTTTTTTCATTATTCTAAATTTTCACTTATTTATCTCACAAATTAGAAATATGTGATTACAAAAACTCTAAATCAAAACTCCTCACTTTAAATATCTTTTACAAGCATCTTCATAACCAATAAATGATTTAGAAATAGTCATAAACTAAAGTATCTCAGTTTGAATATCTTTTACAGGCATTGTCATAACCATTGCAAAAAAGATCCATAATTCTTTGATTATTGATGTAGAACTACTATAGTTAAAAAACTCTTAGTCAGTCTAAAAAATATACTAATCTGATGTGGGTTTATAGCTTGTATTGGTTGAGACAGATACCTTAATTACGAAGCAAAAGCTACAACGAGAAACTGTAGCAGTAGGCCTTTACCCGAGACTATAGTTGTAGCGGGAAGACATGCAACAACGACTCAGCAAACTGCTGTAGTAATTATGGAAACAGGAATATCAGAGTACAATCGTTTAAACTTCACATCGTCGTTATGATTCTAACTCCATATATATCAGTTGGAATTTAATATGCTGAGCTGAAACCATGCAATAATGAACTTGACCTAATAAATTATTCAAATTACTAGAGAACACATTTTGTTTATGTAAGGGACATTATCATAGGTATGTTTTTATACTTAGAATGAACTATGAAACAAAAATTAAGAATCAATACACATAAATTGCATTCTCAATGAATACATACTTTCCTATGTTACACCGATACACCTATTTATGAAGGCGTGCTGTATCCGATACACCGATATACTGATACGCATTCGATACATCACCGATACGTGTCGGATATGGCATTGCCATATCCAATTAAAAGACTATTTAATTTCAAAAGGACGCTTGTCCGTTGAAAAACAAAAAAAAATATGAAAAAAGACCCGTCGTATTTACTTCCGTGGCTGCGAGCGAGGTTCTCTCATTTCTTAGATGGATTTGAGTCTCTTGATGATATGAGAATATTAGAAATTGCTAATCTTTCAATTGATGAACCTGAATTAGAAGCTATGATATTTATTAAAGATGATATAGATGTTCAAAGACAAACCATTGAAGAAGTTAATCATATCATTATATTCATTCTATTGAATAGTTGAAAATTCATGTGCTAGATAATTTATGTTTATGATTTTGTTATTATATTAGACATTTAATGCTTACTTTTATTTTGATATTATAAGCTACAAGGCTACAAATGATGTTGCTTTCTTTTTTTTTTTTTTCAAATCATATGCTTTGATTGCTTTTTTAATTATTATGGATGATTTATAAATTATAATTTCGTATCCGCGTCGTACCCGTATTCTGTATTTTTAAAAATTGATGCGTCCCGTATCCATATCATGTTGTATCCGTGTTGCCGTATCCATATCTATGCAACATAGACACTTTCATATTTGCATCGAATTCAGTTTTTTGTTCCTGCAACACTTTGATAATTGGTTTTGTGGCATTTCTTCAGAGAATCTAGTGGTCTCTTACCTAATCTTTAGCAATTTTTATTGCCATTTTTGTTACCTTCGATATAGTCTTGTGAATTTTGCTATTCCTTTGAAGGTTGATTAAGAAGATTTTTGCTAATTAGCAGTTTCTGTTAATTGGGCTTTGTCATTAAAAATAGGGGTTTAAAGATATACAAAATTGATCAATTGATTCTTGAACAAAATTCTAATAGGAAGTTTATTTTTTATTTATTTGTTTTTCCTAGATTCAATTCTTGATCAGATGGGAGATTTGAAAATTTTCATAAGAGAGTTTATCTAATTGTTCAATCACGAGGCTTATTTCTGGCGATTTATTCCCCTTTCACTTGTTTTCTTTTTCTAAATTTTGCTATTTATTTGAGGGCCTTATTAATTTAGGGTTGAAATCATTTGTATGATTTTATTGATTCTGAATTTTTAGTAGATGATCATTAGATTTTTTATCTGAATTTGTTTACCTCATGTTTTGTGTTTTCAAATATAGTAATAAATACTGGTTAAAATTTAAGATCATGTGAACCCTAAAATTTAGCCATACTTGTTACATGATTTCTGTCATCATTTATTAAGTCTTCAATAGAAACTCAACTCTAGAACATCCTACATCAGTACTTTGATAAGTTGGTGTTATTTTTGAAAGATTATTTTGTGCGGACACCTGAGACTGAATATCATCCAGAGGCGAATCAGGTGCAGCCACGTTATCCAGTACTGAGCAGCGGTACCGAGTAGGGGGTGACATGTCGCATTTTCATTGGGCTATGGACGGCGTTCGACATACGCACAGAATAATTCATCGTTATTTTTAGAGGAATGGCCAAAGCAGCAGCTTTATTTGTAGGCTTCCTCAGGCAGGGGTTATTTATCATGAGAACTTCTTAACTTCACTTGTTTTGTGATTGCTGCTGCATATTTTCCATCTTGATCAGATCTGCTTTATAGTTCATCATCCCAACTATTTAGACCTAACGTACTAATATTTTTTTAGTCTTATCTTTTACATGCGACGTGCTAACTGTAATTAATTGCGCTAGATCACCGGCCAAGTCCTCATAGTCAGGTCTTAGATGAGTTGGAGTCGCATCTTTTTCTGAATGGACTCGTCTTAGCTTTCGGCTTGCGGAACGAAACTGCATGGCGCAGACCTGCAATCTAAGGCTCCGTTTGGGACGGCTGTAGTTGTCGGTAAAATAAGTTGTGAAGTTATTGTCCAAAAAGCTGCTTTATAAATTTGCAGTATATAAATCAATAAATTTTATTTGGGTAGTATAACTGCCGAATTATTGTGCTGCTGCTGTATGATAATAAATTACCTTGATATATACTCTTCTATATATTGATATGAAAAAAAAAATTAAAATATAAATGTTTTTAAATATATATGATAACAATCTAACAAATCTGAGTTAAAATGATCGATCACTTCCACACGAATTGGGGCAATAGCGTCATTTTTGTCCTTCGCGTAGTGCGGGAGGTAAGGTTCGGTCGCGGGAAGCATTATTGATACTTATTAACGCAAAATTACTGAAAAAGCATTATCAAAGTCGACCTATGTGGGAATGATCTTAGGGAAAGTTGTATTATTGATTATGGGATCTGCTTATTTAAAGCCAGTTTGATGGTTTTGTCAGATATTAGAAAGAAATAAAACACTTAACACAAATAAAGTCAACATCAATCTTATGCGACATGTTTTATAAGAAAAGTTATGCTTGCTTTGACTTTGGATTGCAAATGAGTTTTGTCTGAGTTTGAGTCATATATTTTTTGAGTTTGGTTTGTTTGTGTAATAATAGGCTTAAATTCGAGCTCATGTATCGAGCTTGAATTTGCTCGTCATTGTAATGGCGTGTTCGAGTTCTGCTCATGAGCTCGAGATCATTAGAAAAGTCGATTAATTGCATTGCAAGGAAGTTGCGACATAAAGCTTGTAGAGAAATAGCAACAATCAGTGAGTTGCGACGGAAGCTCATTGGAGAAGACATTGTCGATCGTGATGGGAGCTCGTTGGAGCAACATTTTTTAAACAATATTTTCGACTCCCCAAAAATAGAAACATTATCTTCAAAAGCTTAAAGGGGATCTAAATGCATACTAGATAATTTTTTATATGCCTTTATATCAATTATTTATATTTTGTTATATACTTTTCTAACACTAAATATTTAAATAACATAAAAAATATTTTTATATTATTTTAGAAAATGCACATTTTATAGACATTAAAATATTATATAGATAAATTTTAAACTTTTGATGCTAAATATATAATTTTTTATGTCAATCTTGCAAGATTGAAATCTGTATACATTCATAGTGTATGTAAAGAGTACAATGAACGGTGAAAAATTTTATTGTCATATTACGTGAACAGCAGCAGCACTCTTTGGACGTCGAAGCGGAGCTTTGGCACCTTTCTATACGATTCTGCCTTCGCTTTTGCAATCGCCAATGGTCCATTTCACGTGATTTGGATTGGACTTCGCCATGCTTTTGTACGAATTACTGCACGCCAGTCGAAGACAAATTCTTATTATTGCCGATCAAAATGAATTTTTTTTTTTTACAGACAGTTTCTAATCGTCTTGCTCATGATATAATAAAACACAAATCATTTTAATAAGTTTGAACTCAAGATATTTTGCTTGATAACTAAAGCTTTCAACTAATAGGTTAAGATCAGGTGCATGTGTATTGGAGAAAGTTTTTTTTTTTTTTGGATATTTAGGTCAATTAAGATAGATTGAGACACACATCACATACACAAGACTCAAACCCAAGGCCTCTTGGTAGCCTCATGTTTATAGAAATTATTCTGTGCGGAAGCTAAACGCCATCCGGAGATCAACCAAAATGTGTCACGTCATCCCTTCGCTTGGTATCGTTGACGTGACGCATTCTGATTGGTCTTCGGACGACGTTCTGCATCCGGCCTCTGCACGGAATAATTTCTATCATGTTTGAGATACACTTTCGTTATTAATATGTTAATAATTGCAATTAAGTTCAATTTATTCTTTTGTGAGAATAATGGAGAGATCTGAAAAGGGCAAAGAACAATGGTGATTGAGGTCCACATTTTGTACTATTGGTTGATTATAAAATCTTTTTATTCACCTGTTTTTCTCAACTTGTTGGGATGAGATAAAAAAGTCACATTGGACCAATTTGTTTTTCAAAGATATCACTATATTAGTGCCTCTCAAGAATTTGAAATTCCTATAGGCTTTTTTACTGTTTCTTAAAACAATTTTTTAATAAAAAAATTATTTTTATGTTATAAATCTGCTTTAAGAAGCAGTAAAAAAATCATTCCAAATAAATCATTAATTTTTAGTTAGATACTTTGAGGTGTTATGAAATTTTTACCACTTTCAAAGAATAACCCCTCTGGTGCTTCTCACAACTCCCGAATGGTTTGATATATAAACTCATTTGTCAAGTTTATGAGGTTATTCATGATGTAATTTACTAGTGCATAAAGATTGTTAAACGCTCACATACCTTATTTAAGATGATGCAAAGAATTACAAGAGTTCGGAATAAGGGAGAAAATATTACAAAAGTACCTCTCCTCAGAATAAATAAAGAGTTTTGCATGTTCAAATATTTCAAGATTGAGGGGGAGTTACATGATGGCTCTTAACTTGTCCTAGACGAGGCAAATTGGATGACCAAACGATTTCTAAATGTGAAATGCTTATAGTCCAATCATGCGGCTCGACGAGATGAATCCAACGTGCCCAAGATTGTCGAATTCTGATATCATTACGATATTTAAATGCCCAGTAAATAGTCCATGATTAAGAAGATCAATATCAGTCGTCCATTCAAACCACTGCCAACATACCCTTATCTCCCTTCTATTTATTGGCCATGCCATTCTCTGAAAAATATAAATAGATTCCTCTATAAAAGCTTTGGTGCAAAAATTATATTTATTATTTAGTATCATGAAGAAGCTAGATGTGAGCTGCTCAAATATTTTATATTGTTTAATTATAAAACATGTCCTTTTAATTAATTATGTGATTTTATGTTTCATAGTTCTTATTTATGTTTTTTTTATCACATATTCGGAGTGATGACATCATTATTATGTATGTTTTTTTTTTAATTTTTAATAAAATTAGTATTTATTGCATTATAAGGTTCAACTCCGGTTGAACCATCGTACCGTGAACCTCTCCTTTTTTCAGTTTGTTGTCCGATCCGATTTTCATAACCTTGCGTTGGAGACTCCTACAACTTGATTTCTAACCCACAATTAAAATGAACATTGTTATTTAAAAAGAAAGGCACTCAGCGCATCTACATATATTTCATATATACCCATTGTTGCATGTGCTTGTTACATTAATAGTATGTTAAGCACAACATTTCTTATTCATGACACTTTAGGTGGTGATGAACATGGGAGGCAAAATAAATGAGGAGAATATTAACAAAATTTTAAAAGAGTGTGGGGGCTAAATAAGGGAAAAAGTATTGAATGCTTAATAAAACTTCACTTTTTTCTCAATAGCCTTTTTGATGTGTAACTCGGAGAAAAGATTTGGAGTATTTTTTTTTTTGGTGGATGAAATTTCTTTTCATTAGGTTTATGCTTTTGATGAGAACCTAATTTATTTATAGGCACGAGTCGATTTAGTTTATTACTTTAATCTTTAGGAGAAGACCAGTTTTGATTAAGGAGATTGCCTTAACGTTAGCTTTTTAATTGGATTAATGAGAGAGAGAGAGTGAGAGACTTAATCAAGAACTCATGTATTTATCGTGTTATATTTACCAATGGATTCGATCAGTCTACCAAAATTTGACAACTACGATTCGTAATATCCATAGGATTTGATTATTAGCTATGAGTTTCATAATCTTTGGAATTTAGAGCAACTTGAGATGGAAATATACACATGGATGTCATTTAGATGCTATTGAGATTGATGTCAACTAGTTTACTTGTAGAGGCATTATCATTCCCATTTTATTTAATAGTTTAAAGGCCCAAAGCATAGCATGTTATTAAAATTTATGATTAGGGTTCACATCATTATCATAAAATTAATTAGTAAAACTTTAATATATATTTTGAAATGTCTAAGATAATTAAGAGTTTGGAATTATAATTGAAAAAAATAAATGAAGGATTTTTCATACCCTAATAGCTCTAGTGGTGCTTTGTCCACTTCACTTCTTTTATAATCCTAAGTGCTTCGTACTTTTGAGTCTACTAATTGATCGAATCTTTTTTCTTAATTGATTAAACATACAAAATATTGGGATTTCATGAAATTTATGGCGTAAGTGAAAATAAATTAAGTCAAATCATATATATATATATATTTAATTAAATTCTTGATAAATCTATAGAAAAAATTAATAAGAAAAATTGCATTAAAAGTTTAAATGTAATAATAACTGTTGAAAATAAAATAATAAAATACAAATTGATATATATATATATTAAACAGCCTCACCAGAATTCCGCAAAGAACCCCAAGAAAAACCCCAAATCCCCTCGCAAACCCATTCCATATTTATTTGATTATTTCCTTCTTCCGCTCTCACTCTGCAGCACCACATGATGCATCTCCTCGCCACCTTCTCTCTCATATCTCCCCATTCTCCTCCACCACCTCCCATCCTTTGGTCCTCCCGGTCCTTTTCAAACCTCTTCTCCGTTATAGCTTCTATTATAAATAGCCACCAAAGATTCGAACTTCCCCTTCTCCAGCTCTACCGCATCTCAAGGCGTCGCGTTCGCATTCGATGATCGATGCCCTTAGGTTCTATATTTACATGTTAGTTCTCCTTATCCCTCGAAAGTTAGCTTCTTGATTGATTGATTCGACGTGGCGTTCCTTTAGGGTCGCAAATTTGTCTCCTTTAGTTTTTTTGGGGGAGGAGCAGCGAAGTTCGCGGGAGAGAGAGAAATGGATGGCAGTCTTGGCAGAGGGTTAATTTCCAGGAGCAGAGTGAGATAGAGAAGATGAGAGGGATTGGATTGTGATCTGGTGTCGCTTTGGTGGCCGCTGGGATTGACAGTACCGGGCCGCCGGCTTGATTTATCGGTGAACGTCGGTAACATGGCCTCGGCTTCAACTAATGGGGAGATCCCAAAGGGTAACATGTGGGATCTTGACCAGAAGCTAGATCAACCCATGGATGAAGAGGCTGGAAGGATACGGAGCATGTACAGGGAGAAGGTGGATTTTCACTTAACTGCCAAATTACAATTTTTTTTTTTTTAAATGCAGATCAACCTGCTATGCCATAGTGCATAGCAACCGGAAAGATTAACAGTACTTGTAATCGTTTTTTTAATTTAATATTGCAGTCGTATAGTCTGACATCTAGATGTAATTAGAATAAGACAAATATTATTTATGAAATTGCGGAGCAGCTGATTAAGCTTGGTTTGAACGGCTTTTTCTCTGCTTCTAAAATCAGTTTTTTAGTTTTTTACTAGAAAACTATTTTAAGTAGTAAGAAAGTCATCCTAAATAAAATCTTATTGCTTCTTAAAATAGTTTTTAAGTACAAATTTTTTTATTTTGTTCTAGAAAGCTGATTTAAGAAACAGTGAAAAAGTCATCCCAAACGAAACCTTAGTTCACTGGTCTTAGTTTTTGAGCAATTGGGCAGAAGATGAGGATCCCCATGTGGATGAATGATTTTACTCTTAGATAGGATATGAAACGAGCATATACGTGAAAAGGTTGGAGTAGCTCTAGTGGAAGATAATAGAGAGACCAGGAAGATAATAGCGAGAGTGGTCTTAGATAACCCGTTTAGGAGAGTAGATGCATTAGATTTGGCTTATCTTAAGAAAGGTGTAGGTAGACCTAATAAGACTTGGCAGAAAATATTAGAATTGACTTTTCTTTATTAGAATTAAATTAGAATTTGACCCTTAGGGGCTGTTTGGTAGAATCTAGGAATTCATTTAAGTAGGATTTCATAAATCCTCAAAATCCCGATTTACGAAATCCTGAGGGGGTTAAATCCTGAAAATTATTTGATAACCATCATGATAAATTCTATGTGACTGTTTGGCTATTCCATTCAAGATTTAAGGAGGTTGAAAGATTTGGGCGGAGTTTCTTCCTTCCCGCGTCAATAGAGCCAGAGGATTTCGGAAATCCGTCGAACGAGAGGATTTCAAAAATCAGGTATTTACGACGAAAAAGGCCGAATTTTTCGTCTACGACAGCTTTCATTTTCCGTGAGATTTGGTTTTGCATTTTAGGCTGTTTGGTTGGATTTCGCCTCAAATCCGGCCTAAATCCGTATACCAAATAGCCCCTTAACAAGATACAATGGAGAAAAAAGATTAATGTAGCTGATCCCATGTAGTGTAATGAAGGCTTGATGTTGTTTTTGTTGGGCAGAAGTTAGAAATTTGTTTATGTTAATTTTGATCTTTTGGGGGTTGATGCTGTGGTAGTTCAAATCTGTTCTCACTATTCATTGTAGAGCATCTTTTTTGTTTTTCTGAATTTGTTTGGAATTAATGATGCTGGTGACTCATGTGCTGAAATGATGTTCTTGTCCATGCAGAAATCATCATCATTGGTAATTTTGCAGCTTGCATTCCAGAGTTTAGGTGTGGCGTTTGGTGACCTCGGTACATCGCCTTTGTATGTTTTCTACAACACATTTCCCCATGAATTGAAGCATGAAGATGATGTAGTTGGGGCTCTTTCTCTGATTATATACTCGCTTACTTTCATTGCACTCCTCAAATATGTAGTGGTGGTATTGAGGGCTAATGATAATGGCCAAGGTAAGATATATTTGTATATTTGTCTTGAATTTTAGCTGCGTTTGAAGGTTGTTAGATGGAAATTATGAACTTGAATATTTCAGCTTTTATTTTTTTAAAAAATTCTGGATGAATGAATTCTTCTAGATGCGATTTATGAATACACAACATGGAATAAGCCAGGAGTAGAAATTACTGCATCCTAAGTAATCTTGAAATCACAGGTTTTAGTCAAGAAAACAGCCTAGCAGTGCATGCTCTCCACAGCTCAATTTTGCTTTATATTTCTCTAAATTGGAGAAAAAAATCCATCCTTTGATGTTTTTGTTTAGAAGTGAGGGATAAATAAGATAATTTGCCAACCGAAAGCCATATTTCTGCTGGGTTAGAAGCTATTTAAACTTGAATCCTTACTTGTCTTTGTCGATTATAGGTGGAACCTTTGCTCTTTACTCACTACTCTGCAGACATGCAAACATAAAAACCATAGCAAACCAGCATCACACAGACGAAGAGTTAACAACATATAGCCGTTGGACTTTTGAGGAGCACTCACTTGCTGGAAAGGTCAAGTGCTGGCTGGAATCTTATGCAATTAATAAGAATGTGATTCTTTTTCTTGTCCTTATTGGAACATGTATGATGATCGGGGATGGAATTCTTACTCCAGCTATATCAGGTGTTCATTTTAACTTTTTCCCTTTGAATTATCAACTATGGTTTCCTTCGACAAAGATATTAATGAGATGCTTATTTTGTTTAGTTTCATTCATCATGGAAATTATCAGTAAATGTTGATCATATAGATCATATGTGTGTGTAATCTTCTTTAGTTACCATTAGATACCGTAGATTTAATCACAAGATGTTAGGGTAGGGTTTGAAGCTTTATTCGACTGATTTTCAAACACTTGTATGCATAAAAAAATAAAAAATGTGCTGAGCAGGCATATCTAACATGATCTCCAAAAGCTTGAAATAGAAGTTAGGTTCAGCTTATGCATTCCTTTGCTTGAAGGGTATGCCTCAGTGTGGAAGGAATAAAAACTTCTGCTTGCTTTTATTTGTAAAATAAGCTGGAGACCATTAGTTCCTTAAAATTAGGATATAGAAGTGATTAAGAGACAGGGTTTAATACAGTGATTGGATTCTTGAATTGTCTTTCTGGAGGATCTATTTCTTAGAGAGGAAGGAGTTTTTCCTCTTGAGCTTCTTGAGAGAGAGGAGAGAGGGAAGATGATGAGGACATAAGCAGGAGATTCTTGCGCGTCTATTAGAGGAGACATCATAGATCGACGGCTACGATTAGGAGTCTTTACTTGTGATGCATTTTATGTATTTCTTTTATTTATGTTCTAGTTTTTACCATTGTACACCTGAGAGGGATTAGTTCGTATTGTTGCCCATAGGGCAATTTAGTCTTTTGTTTTGTTCCTTGAGGCCTATATATGAAGGCCATAGCTTTTGTATTGAAACGATAATGATGATTTTGAATGAAAATTTCAGCACTTGTTCCTTTTCTTTGTTGTGAGCTCTTGAGAGAGGAGATAACCCTAAGAGAGGGCCAAGCAATTCTCGTCAGCCTCCGGTAGAGTCCGGGCTCGTGGTTTGTATTCGTTCTTATTCCTTACTCCCCTTTCCTCTTCCCCATACCGCCAACTACCCCCTCCCCCCTCCCAAATTCCGGCCAAACCCTCTCCATCCACCTAAACCACTGGCCAACCTTCACCAAATCCCCCACACACCAGCCCTACTCCACCCCCCCAAACCGAACCCCTCCATTGCTGTCGTCCCCTCCCTAGCCCAACCCTAGCCGTCGGCCAAGCCAAACCCCTAATCCCCTTGATTCCAATTTCCAATCGCCCCTTTAATACTTTCCTAATTGAGAGCATTGTAATTTGGAAGGTCCCTTAATTCAAATTCAAATGAATTTGAATTTCAAAAACTTTCCAAATTAAAGTAAACTTATTTTGGGAAGTTCACCTAATCATTACAATCTGAAATTAAAGTAGATTTAATTCCAAATCACACATTCATTGCATGTAGACACATTCATTAAATGTGGACACCCCTCCCCTCCCTCCTTTGGCCAGCCCCCCTTTATCTCTCTCTTAACTAATTTCTCCCCTTATTGCTCTCAATCAAAGCCCCTCCTATCAAGGTGTGCTGCCCCACATATTTCCAATTAGAGGAGATTCGAATTTTGAATTATTCTCTCATCCACCTTGAAATCTGAAATTAAATTTCAAATTTTTAAAATTGGTTTTCTCCACCCCACATTAAACCATAAAATCTGAAATTAAGGATAGCCTCTCTTCTAGCCTTGGCCGACCACCCAAACCCCTTCCTCCTCCCTTCTATCTCTTCTCCCTTGCTTCATACACCATCCAAGGAAGAAGATACATCATCCCTCAGCCTACTTCTCCATGTATGGCCGATCCCGAGCAAGATCATAGATTTGTCTACGATAATCAAGGATTAGTGGATGTTCTTCGTTCCCCCTTCTTCGACATCAACTGGGGAGATTGACCAACCGCCAAAGACTACGTCGTCTGGATCTTCTTTTCATTGACTACCGCTCTTGACAAACATCGGTGTCCCGTCCAATGGCCAATCCTCCATCATCCACCGACCTCCTTTTTCCCGGTTAACTCTTCATTGAGTAAAATTGTAAGCACCTTATGTATTTTGGTAGCATCATTATTGTTGCGCAAATTATTCTTCTACTAAAGCCCTTAAGAGTGTCAGTGAGGGAAACTTAAGGTGATTGCTCTAATTGTTAACCGGTGGATTTTTTTTTACTTGCATATCTAGTCTTACCGTAATTTTGATGTTATTTTAATTGTCCTTCTAATCTATGTTGTAACCGCATGCCAAAACAAAACAACTAAGAAATCCTAGAATCTAATCTTATGAAACATTGATTTTAAAATTGGCAAGCTTAACAAATTTTATTAAATTCCTTCAATTCCTCAACCTCCTATTTGTTTCAATCATAAGAGGAGAGGGAGAGATGGCTGAAATCTAAAGAGGATATCTGTATTGCTTGGTTTTTGGCTTAATTTCTCTTTTCTATTACAGTGAAGCCTTATTTAAAGACTTCTAATGATATCACAAGAAACAAAATAGGAAATACAAATGGCTACAAAAGTACCTAACTAAAAGAAAGTACAATGTAATCATTCTTGAACCAATCACAACAAACTCCACCTTGGTCATAGATCTACAAAACATCTGTCTTTATTTGCTGCCTTGACTATGTTGGCGTCTTCCTTAGGCCTAACTCCTTTTCTTTTCAGTAGATCCGGGTAATTTCTTTTGAAATGCCCTTCCTTATGGCTGTGGAAACATTTCTTACAGGACTCAAGTTTTCCCTTGCTATCAGAATGTTGCTAATGCTTTCATCTTTGTCCTCATTTCTACGCTGCAATTGTTTGGACACCAAGACTGACTTCTCCTCGGTCATGGTCAACGTTCGCTTGCCATATAGTAATGCATCCACTATATTTTCGTATGACTTACGTAAAGCACTTAGAATGATAATACCTTGATCTTCTTCCTCAATCCTTACATCTATATTCTTAAGATCAATGATGAGTTTGTAAATTCATCAATATGTTTTTTCAAGTCTTTACTTTCTTCCATATGCAACATGTATAGAGCTTTCTTCAGGTATAACCTGTTGGTCACTTGAGTTACTCCGACCTTTTCACGTATATGCTCATTTTGTATTCAATCTCTAAGAGTAAAGCCACACATCCACCTAAGCATCATCATCTCTGCAACACTTAATTTGATATTATGCTTCTCTTTTAATGGCCAATATTCTGCAACATAAAACATTGCAGATCTAACCACCATCTTATAGAATTTTCCTCTAAGTTTAAGGATTTAGTGTATATATCAAACAAAAATAGGAAACTGCTATAGTGCCAATTACAGGATATAAGCAAAACGGGCAGCCAAAAAAGGAAAAAATAGCAAAGGAATTCGTGGAGCAGAATTGTAGAAGTGAATATCGCACATGGAAGGAATCAACAATTACTGATTGTGTTATAGTATCACCAGCCTTTAGGAGCTGCTCCTAGCTACGGTGAATGAACCAAGAAAGGAAAAAAGAGACGAAACAATTAATAGTTCCTATAAATCTTTAAATTGGAACTGAATTTCCTAATATCAGTACAACACCAATCAATGATAATAACCAAAACATCTTCTAAAATAGTGACTGAATGCTGAGTGGAAAGAAAGCAATAGAACTGACAAACAAGAAGATATATAATTTCATATTGATGCCTCTCCATCATTTAAGCTCAATTGTGATTCAAGTCATTCTTGTCAAAACTTGGAGGAATTCTTGAATGCAAGAGAGAGGGGGAGAGAGGCAGAGAAAGGGAGAGGGATTTATTAATTCATCTTGGAGCTTACAGGTGTTCTCAATACATCAACCTATAACCTATTTATTGAATGCAAATGCCGCCTCAAATCTCTGGTTCCGCATGATATTGTGCGTTCAGCTACTCCACCAGATCATTCAATAACAACCCATCTTTGCTCTGGCGTGCACCTCTCGACCCGCGTGCTCCGATCCTTTATGTGGATGAACCTAAGGTCGTATAATCCCATCAGTTTCACTAGAATGGAACCTTGCGCTCTGCGCTTGCGCATACACGACTCTACCCGCACGCTCCACGCCTTGCACACCCGCAACTCGCGCGCCCGCGAGGTCTGCTTCGGCCCACCCGAACTCCTGTGCGGCAGCCCGCCTACATGCTGATCGCGCCACACCCAGCTTTCCTGTGTGAACCTTATGCACGTAATCCGCTCTCTCAAGCGCGAATAGTCACGCGTGCCGATCACAACACACTTTTTGCTCGATCAAGCCATCCCAGACACCAAGCCCGTTGTGCCTGTGCGGCACTAGTAGCGACCGCCTCTTCTCCCCTTTCTTGGATTAGAATCTTCCTCCACCTCTTGATCGTCTCAACGAGGCTCTGATACTACTTGTCAAAATGTGGAGGAATTCTTGAATGCAAGAGAGAGAGAGAGGGAGAGTAGCAGGGAAACGAAGAGGGATTTATTAATTCATCTTATAGCTTACAGGAGTTCTCAATAGTGTTAAGATAGTTGCTATTTGCATGCCTTACATTTTTGCAACTTGTATAGTTTTGATGATTCCAAACATTATTGTTCCCCCCCCTCTTGGTAGTCTTGGGACATTAACTTAGGTCTAACAACCTATTTACTAGACTCAACAAATAGATCAACCTATAACCTATTTATAGGGATATATACATGGTGTGGTGTATTGTTGTTGATCCGTACACTCAAAAAACTTGAAAAGACAAAATCAGCGATTTAAGCAACGCGCGTGTTAGCGTGGTGTGTCACTTGAAGGGTTAAACGACCTTCAATCGCTAAACGGACTACGTCGTTGTGATTAGAGTGTCAAATTCGCCTAAGAGGGAGCTCCTCACAATCAAATCAGACGAGAATGAACAAAATCAGTGACTAACACAAAAAAAAAGTGCGTGATATTGCCCAAACGATGTTCGATCGCCAAATGGACTTCGCCGTTGCATTCAGAATGTCAACAATATCAAAGATGGATTGTAATTTTGTCCAATGAAATTCGCACAGGGAAATTCACCGCATCTCAATGGAAAATACACAAAATTTGAGGGAACGCATGTGAATCAAAGTAGCCAACGTGCATATTTCGGAACGTGCAATTTTTTTATTCTTTTTAAAATTGATATAATATATTATTATTTAATAAAAAAAGAAAATCAAATCAAAGCGCTAACCTCGTATACTGTCGAAGAATCCCGTAAATCGCGCTGAAATTCCTCGAAATCCGGCTGTCGGAACTCCTTCGCGTCTCTTCCTGCATATCTCGTGACTGCAACTCTCAACCACTTCGTTAAAAAGAAACCGAACAAGGCCTTCGTTCGTTTTTGTTCTATGCTCAAGCGCCAAATCCCTCAAGCTTCCACGCTCAAGATCCCGTCTCCAAGCCGTTCCCAACAACTTGCCCCTGTCGACCTGACCTTCGATCCAGCTGAGTCTTCCCTGCTAGTCAAGCCTAGCCGCACAGAGCCCTCCCATCTGCGATCAAAATCATGCTCCGATACCAATCAATACTTTGTCAAACCTCCCAACTATACTTGTTTCCCCTCTCAGAGCCGAATCCAATCCGACAACTTGCTCGTGTCTATCCGATCGACTCCGTCTCTAATCTCCCTCTCCCACTCCTGCCTTCATCTATAGCCGCAGTTGCAGACAACTCACACGCAGCCCGCCAACTCCCTCATCCAGACGAAACCCAATATCAAGCCCGACGTTCGACTCGTTCCTCACTGTACTGAAACTCCATATAGCCAAATCTCCCTCAGGCCCTTCCTTAGGAACAATTATTACGTCCTCCGACCCGATGAACATCCGGTTGTATAGGCAAAAAACTCTGTTTCTTGCATTCGGTCAACCGGACCAAATAAAATCCCCTTCCTTAGGTCATCTCCAACCGAAAACTTCATTTTTCACGGCAAAGTAACGCAAAACTCCAAAATGGCGCGGTGATGCTCCAATCGAACGTCATTTTAGGTGTTTTTGAGAAGGTAACGATCGCCCTCCCTTTCGCGCGTTTTTCCGGTTGAGAGCAAAAAATGGCGTGAGTGAACAGTGCGGTTCATCCGCGATCAAATGACATAAAAAATGGCGATCGGTTGGAGAAAAACAAGAACGACAAACAAGTGTTTCCACCTAATTTGTACGATCAAACGTTCCTCTGACCGTTAACTACTACCGAACCCCAAATCCCTTGCCCGATTCCCATCGAACCATCGGATGTTCTGATCTTCCCTACAGCAAGCCGATTCATAGACACTGAACACTCAAGCCTGTCGGATCTACCCTTTGCTGAAATCTTCCACAGCAACTATAGATGTCCGATCGATTAGCCGACCCCTTTCCAGATTCCCTTATCTAACCTCTCATTACTTTCTATTTGAAGGTTTTACCAAATACCACATCACCCCTCTCAGCTGCACACAACAAAGAAAAAAACCCAAATCCACCTTCAGCTCAAATCAACCCTCCAAAACAGCACTCAACCAAAACTTTTCCAACAAAAAACCCACCACACACTCTCTAAACCCAGATTAACCCAAATCCCTTATTATTATTATTATTATTATTATTATTGATATTATCAAAAGAAGATAAAAGTGACTAGGAAAATTAATAAAAAAAAGAAAGAAATAACCAAAAAAAAAAAAAAAGAGGGAAGATGAAATTTTCGTGCATTTTGTCATCGTCGTCGCATTAACATCACCGTCTCTATCGACCTCGCCTTCGCAAATGTATAATAACTTCAAAGCTCAAAAAGCCCCAAAATAAAAATCCTATTTTCGACACTTACGTCGCACCAAAAAATCACCCATACACGCTTTTCCCTAGTGTGGTGGGAGGGAACTCGGTGTGACGCTTTCAGTGAGGCTGGTAGACCCTATGCACGCTTTTCTCTGGCGTAGAGAGTACAATTTTAAGTGCTAGTGTATGTGTCTCAGTGTCTGCGGGAAAAACTGCATTTTCAAACAGGTACCCCTGAAAACTCATATGTGCCTTTCTCTAGCGTGGTGAGATCGAAGAGTACGGCTGCAGTATCGTACTATACATACTTTTCTCATGGGAGATGCCGGGAGGCTGCCAAATTTTTCAGTGAACATGGGACTTAAATGAACAACAGGGGATTGAACTTGTAGATTATCGAACCACGGGGAACTTTACTTGAACAAAATAATAGGGAACCAGACCTTAAACTAATAAATGCACGTTAAAATTGAATATATAAAATCCTAAATGATTCAAAGAACTCAAATGAACATCAACATGTAGTAACTGTAAGGACTTGTGTTGAACCAAAACTCCAATACACAACTTGTTTATAAACAGGTAATCATCTACGAAGACGATGAAAGACTCATAATAAGTGTATAATGAGTCGTCTATGGGGAGTCACGAAAAATGCGTTGTGAATTTAATGACTTGCTGATAGACATAAATAAGGGAGTTGCAATGAACATGACCTGCCTATTAGCAATAACAAATGATTTATAACATTCACATCAGTCATGCAAGTAAATGCATCTATCATCTACAAGTAGAAGGATTTGAAATGTAGCGAGCACAATGATTTGAGACATTTGATGAATTTGAAATGAATGAAGTCTATATGTAGTTAATGTCATTCAAATAAGCACATTAATCTGCCAACAAATAATAGGCTATAAATGTCGTAGTCTTCCTACGACCGATGGCAGTTAGCTTGCAGATAAATGCAAGCCCTGCAGACAACTTCAAAATGTGAGCAAACACATACAACTGTGCAAGTAGCAATGATCGACTATGCAATGCATCGTCAACTAAGAGGTATTTGAAGAATTTGAAGCAAATGCAGCTCGCATGTAACTAATGCCGCTATAAATAAATACACTAAGCTTAATGTTGATGATAACAATAGACATAGCGCAAGTGCAAGGTTCCCGGTAAATATATTTAAGCAAACGATGACAAACGTACAAGAGATTCGCCGTGCACAATAGCCCATCTATAGTTGAAAGTGAACAACATGTAGTAGATGCTAGATTATTCCTACAACCAATAGTAAATAAACATCCAGTAGGTACATTAATCGCTTGCAAGCGTCTATGAGCCACTGCGGAAGATCCATCATGAACACAATGTGGTGCCTACAGGCAAATGCAAAAGAGATGTATTAAATACAAACACTTATAAGAAGCACTAAGAGATCTGCATGTAAAGCAACTTGCTTGCAGATGACAACATAAGACTAAAAATGCTTACAACGGCCCACCTACAAACAAAGACATAAAATGCATTATGCAATGATGGATTTACATCATACGTATACATGTTGTAATACATAAAATGCATTATGCAAAATACATGCAAATGCATACACCTCATGGGCCCCAACGAGCGTGTTATAGGTACACACGTGGCATCTGAGGATGCTCCGCGGGTAAAAAATGAACTTAAGTTCGAGCCCGATCATTCTACATGAATATATAGAAGTTGACATGACTTGAACCATCAATCAAATGTACGGTCGGGACGCCGATCGATATATTTGTTTTATACATTCATATTAGGCCTTAAAAGCCTATAAGAAAGAAAATTCACTAATAAAGGCATGAACTCGACAATGAACCTAATCCTCTGTCAGCAGGTAGGCAGAGTCGACAATGTTCAATTAACTAAAATGAAATTGCATATGAAAACCCCCATGATGACCATATTGACATAAAATCTCAATCCGCGGGGACCCCAAACATTTAAAAATGTCTCGCAAATGCCCACAAAAATTACAAAATAACAAAATTATAAAATGTTTAAAATTGAAATAAAAATCAAAACATTTAAAGCAAAATATCAATCCACCATACACAACAGTTTTCCAAGGTAAACAAACTTGAAAGCACTTCAGCTCACAAAGTGCAAATGTTTGGTTGAGAATATCACTAGGATTCATTTTCAATCTGTCTCTTACCAGTAAGGACGTGACATGTGTCCTCTAACTAGTGATTTCATCGCCAAATGGCACCACATATAAATGTTTATGATCGAGATCCTCTGACCAAGTGATTTTGCCGTCAAATGATACCATTAAGTTATGGTCTTGGTCAGAGCCCGTATGTTCTCCAATTATTTTAAATCATTAAGCAATGAATCAATAAGATATGATCGACAAGGCACAAAGCCCTCTGTTAGCTAAGGTGGATTCAAATTTATCCCCTTAGATAAATATTCATAAGATACATTTGGACGAAGCAACCCATGGCTGTCGACAAGGACCCTTTAGTCAGGTTGGGTCGACCACCTCTAACTAAGTAGACCAGGGACCATGATGGCCCGAGAAGACAAAACCATGGGATCTTGATTGGGCTCATCATCATTCCCCCCACCATTTGCTTTAAGTGCAAGATGGTGAATTTTCAATTTTAAATATTAACTTTTTAAATACCAAAACTCAATTGCTACTATATGTTGGATACTATGTATCTGTTTGACGACTAGCCTTAATTGGAAGTTCTCTCTCATTACCGGGAGGGATAATTAACTATAAGGGCTTGCACCTATAGGAAACCTGAACTCATATCCTAAAGTCATCGCAAAATGAGGGCGAAATCTATAGGTTGTGTCTAATTCAAAACCCAATCTACCTTATGAAAATTTGCCTTGGAATCTCTACTCGTTAAAACTCTCCACGACGACATGAAGGAAAGAAAGTGATCGCGGAGAGGCTAGGGCGTGAATTTTCGGAGCCCACACTTGCAAGAACAAAATAACCTAAAACTGGACCAATTTATAGCAAATCTCTTGTTTGCTTCCAATCGGAAGACCTTTCTATTGTTTATCTAGAGCTTTGGAAGTGGATTCAGAAAATCATCAACATTAATTTCTTCAGGATTTACGAATGTATGCTATTGCAGCTGTCTGTTTGGTGATAGTACAACAGCTTTAACAAGAACATTTATGCAATCTATTTTTTTTATTTTTATTTGTAAATATCTAAAAAATCATTTTTTGCAGTGATTTTGGCCTAGTTTGCTCTCATACATTTAAAGCATCTAGAATTGCTGAGTTCTTTTTTTCTCTTTTGTACTTCAAAGAGCTTGACTTCAGTACCAACTATGCTATAGGTTAATCTGTATTATATCTTTACACTAAGAGTCTTACAGTGGATGTTTTATATAGGTTTTAATCACATGGTTAACTTAATTGGATGATATATGTTTTACATTAATATACTCTTCTCTTGAACTTACAATGGGAATTTCATTTATGACGTTTGTTAAACATGAAAAATGATATTTTAGAATACTGAACGTCTTGTCAGCTTAATTTAACTCATCATATCAGCTTAACTTAGATAAATTGTTCTACCTGTCCTTAGACATTTCTGTAGCATGTGCGCAATAATTATGACGTTACCTGTTTATTTATCGATTCCTTTGGTATACAAAAGTTTATGTGCGCCCCCGGTGACATCAATATTTGGATTGTATAAAGGATCATAAAGTATTATTTTGATGAATTGCTTGGCTTCTAATATCATTTTCTAACTCTACGATAGTTCTATGTCCTTGCAGTTCTTTCAGCAGCTGGTGGGATCAAATTGGACCACCCCAAGATAAGTAATGGTATCTGCATAATCTTGAAACTATATTATGCTTTTCCTTGAAGTTTATATGTTGAAGTACCATAATTGCTAAAAAAGATAAATATATAGAAAATATTAACAAGAAAAGACTTAAAAAAAGTACCACACATTCTAACATTTTTTTTTCTTTTTTTATTTTCTAATTTTGATAGAAATTATATCTCACCCAGAAAAATAATCTGTCTCATTCTTGAAAGAACAAAGCTTGAGTAGCTTTTAGATCTCACCCAGAAAAATAATCTGTCTCATTCTTGAAATCTAATTTTGATACCTTCCATAAACTAGAGGGTAGGCCTGGTCTGGTGACTAATTTACCTCTAGTGTGTTATGGAGATCCTCGGTTTGAGTCATGAAAACAACCTTTTGCAAATACAGGAGTTCCATGCACCAGATATCTTTTTTTTCCTAAATATTATTATCAAATATGAATGGTGAACCTATGTCCAGCTTCCTGATACTTTAACTGCAATCATGGAATTATCAACAATACAAAAGCAACTAATAGCCAGAAAAGATGATGAATCTAAAACTATTGTACTAAAGACATCGATAAGTATGAAGACGGCGTATTCAAATTAAAAAAAAAAAAGATTTTCCAAGGATGTTCCCAATGATTCTATTGGGATGTTTATGATAGGGAACACTTGAAGATTTCAAGTAAATCTTATCAATTTCGGAACAACAGCGAGAAATCTCCACAAATATAATAGAAAATTAGAGAAAAATAGGAATTTTATTACAAGAATCAAATAGACGGAAGAAAATAACAAGATACAATTGATCCTCTATTCGAGAGGAGGATATTTCTCTCACAAATCTCTAGACGCCGCTAGAGCCCAAAAGAAACCTAAGAGATCTCAAATTTTAGCCAAATTAAGATGCCCATACCCTAACCCTAGGAAAAAAAGCTATTTAATACATATAAATCAAAACTTCAAAAGAAATCCCTAAACAATCCCTACATTCAAATATCCCTCATAACTCCCTCAAAAATCCTTCCTAAACGGCACGTACAGGAGGCGGACATTTCCACCTCTGTTCTTGTAAGCCTGTCCTGTCGGACCGGCTGGATCGGTCTAACAGTTTATTGCTTTATGAGTTTCAGCAAGAATATTTATACAGAGTTTTTTTAAATTATCCTGTGTTAAGTTTTATTCAATTTAACATTTTGTTCTTTTTTTGCTTGAACCAGATGTGGTCATACTTGTTGCTGTTGTCATCTTGGTTGGATTGTTCAGCCTGCAACATTATGGAATTGATCGAGTTTCTTGGCTTTTTGCTACCATCGTATTCTTATGGTTCATAATAATCGGATCAATTGGTGCTTTTAACATATGGAAATATGACAGTTCTGTTCTCAAGGCTTTCTCACCCGTATTTATATTCCATTTCCTTAAAAGAGGGTCCCATAGTTGGGCTTCCCTGGGAGGGATTATGCTTAGTATTACAGGTTAGATCCTTTCTAAGTATTCAAAATCAATATCTTTGACACTCCTGTTAAGTTCATCTGATGCCTAAATTGTCAAAGTAACTCGTTAGGAATTGAAGCATTGTTCGCAGACCTTTGTCATTTTCCTGTACTTGCTATACAGGTAAATGAAAATCATTCAGGCATTCCTAGTTTTTTTTATCAACTGTAATAGCTAAAACAAGATTTTTTTTTTTTTTAACTTGTTTTGCAGCTTGCATTTACTCTGCTTGTTTTTCCTTGCCTTCTCTTAGCTTATAGTGGACAAGCAGCTTACATTATGCAGAACCCAGGCCATGTATCTGATGCTTTCTATCGTTCTATTCCAGGTAAGTTTGAATCATTTTATGATCAATCAGACTTGAAAATTCTGCACGCATGGATAGCTTATTTAATCTTTTGTTTTAGAAATTGTCTATTGGCCAGTGTTTATTGTTGCAACAGCAGCAGCTATAATTGCTAGTCAAGCCACCATATCAGCAACATTTTCTATCATCAAGCAGGCTGTTGCACTTGGTTGTTTTCCTAGAGTGAAGATTGTTCATACATCAAAGAAGTTTTTTGGTCAGATATACATTCCGTCTATTAATTGGGTCCTCATGGTTCTCTGCATTGCGGTGACTGCTGGATTCAAAAACAAAACTCAAATTGGATTAGCTTATGGTAAGGTTTTTGTAGTATGTCAAGTGTCTGTTTTATATTCAATATGTTGATCCTAAAAATGCATTAGACTCAATATATTATTGTTAGACTGGTCCATTGGACTGGTCCAGCGGGACCGGTCCGTGCGACATAGAGGCGGAAACCTTCCGCCTGTAATTCCGCCGATCCCACCGCAGGAGCTAAGGGAGCTTGTTTGGAAGGTTTTTTGAGGATGTTTAAGAGGGAATTTGAATATAGGGACTGTTTAGGGATTTCCTGTTGATTTGTATGCATTAAATACTTTGTTTTCCTAGGGTTAGGGCATCTTGAATTTGGCTGATTTTGGGATCTCTTAGGTTTAGGTTTTGGTCTCTAAATTCGTCTAGAGATTGGGAGAGATTGATCCTCCTCTCGAATAGAGAATCACTTGTATCTTGTTATTTTCATCCGTTAGTTGATTTCTTGCAATAAAATCTACTGTTTTCCTCCATTTTCGTTGGAGTTGGGAAGAGTTTCTCGCTGTTTTACGAAGATTGTTAGGAAATACTTGAGATCTACAAGTGTTTCCTATCAATAATTTGACAAGAAGTGAATAGATATGATTACCTAGGACTGTAACACTATCAATAGTTACATGAATTGTCCTTTAAATTTTCAGTGTTCTAAGAAGTTTTCACTGAGGAATTCCCTCTCATGATACAACAGGAACTGCAGTTGTGATAGATATGATGGTGACCACACTACTCATGATCCTTATCATGTTGATGGTATGGAGAAGCAACTGGGTTCTTGTGTTTTCCTTTGCCAGCCTTTCTCTGACAGTGGAGCTCACATATTTCTCCTCTGTAATTCTGAAAGTCGACCAAGGTGGATGGGTACCTCTTGTTGTGGCTGCAACTTTACTTATTATCATGTATGTTTGGCATTATGGGACCATGAAGCGCTACGAATTTGAAAAGCATAGCAAAGTATCAGTGGCATGGATACTTGGCCTAGGCCCCAATCTTGGCCTTGTTCGTGTCCCCGGTATCGGCTTCGTATATACCGAACTGGCCAGTGGCGTGCCTCACATCTTCTCACACCTTATTACAAATCTTCCTGCAATCCATTCTGTTGTGCTCTTTGTATGTGTCAAGTTTCTTCCAGTTTATACTGTTCCAGTGGAGGAAAGAGTCCTTGTAAGAAGGATTGGCCCCAAGAACTTCCACATGTTCCGATGTATCGTGAGATATGGTTACAAGGATCTTCATAAGAAAGATGATGACTTCGAGATGATGCTCTTTGATAGCATCTCCATCTTTGTTCGGCTTGAATCAAAAATGGACTGTTCAGATTCTGATGAGTTTAGCCTTGATATGGGGCAACAGAACACCTCCAAATCTATCACCCTTAATACAACTGAAGATGTGGAGTCTTTCACTGCAGATTCAATTGTTGAGATCACAGATTCATCGATTTTGGATTCTGTAGATCAATATAACAACGATGTGAAAGCAATGACAAGCCACAATGGAGAAGAAGATGAACTGGCTTTCTTGAACCGGTGTCGGGATGCCGGTGTGGTGCACATCCTGGGAAACACAACTACAAAGGCTAGGAGGGATTCTGGATTCTTGAAGAGGGTTGCAATTGACTACATTTATGCATTTCTCAGGAAGATCTGTGCGGAGAACATTGCAATGCTCCATGTTCCTCATGAGAGCACGCTGAAGGTAGGCCAGGTATTCTATGTGTAGTCTAGCCAGGTCTTCAAATGAGAGGATTTGTACCGTTAAAACTTTTGCCTCCAGTTTTCAAAATAATCAGCAAGTGTTAGTCTTTGGAGTTGTAGCTGAAGGGCTGAAGAGAAGAAAATGGAATATTTTGATGAAGCATATTCTTGAAATACTGAGCAGCTTTGTTGTATAGACGGCAGTGTAGGACCATAACACCACTGGTATATGTTAAATTCTTCACAGATTTCGTGACATCAAACTTTTACTGGTCATAGCTATGAGCACCTCCATCTTTTAACTTGGTGGGAAAAAGGTTGTGGTGTTCACCTACATCTCTAATTGAACGGCAAAAGAATGAGATTCTCTCGTTCGTGAACAGTGCGACGCCATAGAAAAAGTAGAGGGCAGAAAGGCTTAAAAATTGATAAGTTGAATATCCCCGCTGGCCCCTACCCGCCACCGGCCAAGACCCACTGCCTGCTGACCACCGAAGCTTAGAAAATTGCTTTTTAGTAAAGCTTTCAAAAACTACTTTTTTACAGCAGTTTTATGAAGCAATTAAAAAGTCGTTCCAAATGAAGTCTTAGCATGGCTTGTGTGAACCTCCTGAAGCTAATCTCATTATTTTATAATGATATAACCCACGCTATGTAAGATATTGGCCGTTTTGACTCAACCCAATATATATTAAGTTGAATCTCATGATGTTAAATGTAACATCCCAGAAGGGTCACCAGACCCAAAAATACTCCATTACAAAACCCACTTAACTTTAAAGTTGACAACAAAATTTCACCAGTTTTACCCAAAAAACGCCTCTCATATTTGATCAAAACATTTGCTTATACAGGCCAATCTCCATTCATTCCATCCTAATTAGAGATCTGTTTCATCCCCTTCACTTAATTGTCCTAGATGATTATCATCTAAGTAAGGGTGTCAATTCATGTGGACGGGTCGGATTCAGGTTGAACTCGAGTTTACCCGACTCTAAACGGGTCAACTTGAATCCGACCCATTTTTACAAATGGGTCGGCTATTTCAACCTGGACATGACCCGCGCAGGTTGCTGGGTTGACACGGTCCGACCCAGATTTACAAGATTTGGCTGAAAAAGTGTGAGTTGAGCTCCATTCGTTGGTCGCTACTTCCAATTCTGATTCAAAGCTGGCGACAAAGCAGCGATGGTGTAGCAGCGCAGTAGCAACGACGCGAAGCGACTAGACGCATCGGGCAACGCGTGGAGTCGAGCACTCAACGTGAGCATACCATTTCCGGGTTTTCGGATCAACCCGAATATGATCCGAAATTTGAAATGGGACGGTTTGTTGAACTCGAACCCAACCTGTTTCACAAATAGGTCGACCCGAAATTGGATTTCTCCGTGTTGGATTTCAGGTCGTGTAAAAAATTGTCAGGCTCCGCATGACGATCGCTGACCACCCTCTTTGAGCCGTCCGCGTTGAATTTTGAATGGAACATACTCAACATATTATAAATTTATAATTGATCCAACACTGGTCCAATGATTGAACCACAATCCCTTTCAGCTGTTTTGCATTTCTAACGATTGTATCAAATATCCGCCATGAAATAAAGCTTTAAACGCTGAGAGATGCCCCCTATTTACTTCAACCACAGGAAAATCTGCAGTCATCAAGCCATTTGAAGAAAAGAACAAATTTTGGAAAAATACATCAGGAAGCATAACAACAAGCTCCAGCTATCACAGCGGCACAAGGAGCCCGACAATAAAAAGGAGGGGGAGAGAAACAAATAGACCGCTTGTGTTCAAGACGACAAACAGATTAAATCAAGAAGAAACTCATCACAGATATGACGAACAAATCAATTCGTAAACCATGGCAAGAAAAGGACAAGTGCAGTTACCGGCCTCTGATGCAACCCTCGCTGACGATCCCTCCTTTTAAATCTCCCTATTTCGATTACCAAAAAAATCTAGAAGAAGAAAGCTTGTCATGCCATGGAGAAATTATTCCGCAGGGAGTTCGGATGAAAAGAATTATTTGGACTGTGAGTATATACACTGTGTATAAAAAGTTAACAAATTTGTACATAGTATATACATTCACATGTCCAGACGGTTCTTCCGTTCGGACTCCTTATGGAATAATTTCTCCAAGCACTGTGCCCCTCATAAAAACAAGAAATTATTCTGTATGAAGACCGGACGCAGAACGTCATCCGGAGACCAATCAAAATGCACTACATCAGCAATACCGAGCAGCGTTACATAAAGAATGCGTGCCGGTTTTTAAAAATCGGCAAATTTTGAAATAGATCTTATTCCTAGAACCAGTTACATAAAGAATCGATGCCGGTTTTTAAAAATCGGCAAAAAAAAATTTTTGTATCTCATTTATATAATTAATTTAATAAATTTAATTTAAAAGTTTAACTTACTAAATTAAATTTAATTTAATGTGTTTAAATTTCAAAATAAGCATTAAAATTTTTATTACAATCATTTGTCAAATAAGTACTAATTTTTTTATCATAATCAATTGTCAAAAAAGTACCAGCTAGCTAAATTTTTTTACATAACTCCACCTTTTCATATTTATTTATTTATTTATTTATTTATTTATTTTTAACCTTTTCATATGACTTCTTTACTCATATAAACTAAAAAGCAATATAAATAATACTAATCCATAATGCCCAAATAATGGGACTAAGGTTTCATTTATGATAGTTTTTTTATTCATTTAAAAAAATAGCATAAAAATTGCTAATTAAAAAAAATTATATTAAAAACAATCAAAAAAAAATTTCAAAATGAAGCTTAAATAGCTAAGATGAAGTTCTAAATTCCCAAGTCCCAACACATACATCATATATATTTGAGCATACTTTTCATTAATTTTTTATAATGTGAATATTATTTAATTTTTAGACTTTTAGTCAGTAATATTAATTTTTTATTTAATTCTTTAATATAAAAATTATTATTTTTTGTCTATTTTTAATTATAATTGATATAACATTAATTTACAGATACAAATTTATAATAAACAATGAATAATGACAAAAAATTAGGCCAGAATATTCTGATAAATTTTAAGTTAGAATAAATAAAAAAATAGATCTATTTTAAGATAAGTATAATATAATTAATTGGATATATATATATATATATATATATCATTAATTTTAAAATAACTATAAATAATTTTAAAATTAATTATTATTTTTTTTATCCTAATATAAATTATTTTCTTAGATAAATGATGGCGGGCATCTTATTAATTTTTCTTAATTTGGTTTCATTCATGTCAAATGAGACAGTGCAGGTTTGTCATTTCTATATGGCCATTGGCCTGTCTTCTTCGACCCCACAACAGGACTATAAATTATTAATTGCAGTCACTGGACCGTTCGGAGGCTAATCAGGATGCGTCATGTCACTCGATACGCAGGGTACACAGTAACGATTCACAGTAAATTTGTTATGTGGCACGATGTAATTGGTCTTCTGATGGAGTTCAGTGACCACCCGTAATAATTTTGCTGACAGGACGGGCGATATCCTATGAGAAAAAGGCTCTCAAAGCTGTAAATGAATAGGTTGGCAGAACATTTTAACAAAATAATAGATTATATAAGGTTAAATTATTCAAAATATATACACATGCCTTTGATTTCTTGTGTTTTGGAGTTATTCTCTTTGTCTCTTTGATTAAAAACAAAGAAGCTTATGATTTCATTGTCACCAAATGTCAAGTTTTGAGTTAAGAAAAGACATGCAATTATAATAATGTGCATGGATGATGTTGCCTTTGGTTATCATCCACTAAGCATCATAGTTTAGATATTTTATAAATAACAATATCAATTATTTCTTATTATAATGTTGAAAAGGTCAAATTAAAATTTGGTATTTTTTTAATAATTAATTTGATAGCAATGCAAAATTCTTTTATTTTATATGAAATGTATGTGCTGCCAATATATATTAACTTAGCTTTTTCTTGTGCAAAAAAGCTTAGCTAGGTAGATCACTATATATAATTAAAAATAGGTATAATATAAAAATGTAAATATAGAAAGAAGATCTTTTAAAAAGAAAATGTCGACAAAGTACATCATTTGCAATATTTTATTATGAAGAGAAATCATTTTATCTCAAATTATGGCAGGAGATCCCATTTATTATAGAAAGAAGATCTTGCAAAAAGACATGCATTTTTTTAGATTAACCACAAAATTCAAATTGAAATTGAGTGCTCACTTTATTTTCTTTTGAACACCACTCTTTTTGTTCTTACCATGTTCTTTTCTTATGTATATCATATTCATGAGTATTTTATAAGATAAAATGAACAATACCATATAGGAAGATAGAAAGCTAGTCAAAGATGTTATCATCACCATGATAGATTGTATAGGTGTCTTTGATTAGAAATATTTTCGTAATTGGTTCATTGCATGTTTGTGGATTTACAATTGAATCCAACTCTAATTAGGACTAGTATGACCCAACTCTAATATATGAATAGATTGATTGTGATTGTATTATTAAAAAAAAGGGAGTCTTGTTATCAATTTGTTGGTTTATCCACCTTTATGGATGAAATGATTTAGGCTTATGTTTAAGCATGTCCCCAAATATTGACTTACGAGTAAGAGATGAGTGAGGCCAATGAATCCATAAAGGAAACTCAATGTTCAAATAAGAGAAATAGAGGAAGATAGGGAGATAAGAAGAGACGAGAAGTAAGGACAATAAAGACTATAGAGAGCATTCAAGGGCCATTCCTCCATTTTTCAGTATATTGACCTTCTTTAAATAAATTATAAGACAATGGTCTTGATTTAGTGAAAAAACTCCTCATTGGTTCAATCCCTATATGCGGTGGTGTTTGCAATGTTATGAGCCAATCTTTGTTGATAGTTATTGTATATGTAAGCATATAGATTTCATCTAAATGAACACAAATAATTATATTTATTGGTTGATATATTTAGTCTTCTACAACTCTTCCAAAAAAGAAAATATTATTAACCTATTATGTATAGTGAAGGTTTAGGTATGCGAAAATCCCATGATTTATTTCCTCTAATTTAGATTTTTTTTTTCATATAAATTTAGTGTTATTATCTGTATGTTGATTTTGCTTACTTACATTTAGTCATGTGTGCCGTCTTAGACAAAGTGTGCTAGCGCATTTGACTTTCACATAGAGAGTGGATATTTCCAAAGTGTTTTCTTTTGTATAATTTTTTTCTAGAGGTCAC